CTTATGTTCTTATATGGAGCAGACGTCCATCAGTGACTATTAGCCACAAGGTATAGATAGGAACGCTCAGTCTGGGGCAAGTGATGCTCTGTATTCTTGATGCTTGGGGGGGGCAACAGTGGGAGGGCTTCTAGTGTCCTGGCCCGACTGGTGGACTCCTGATGGCTCCTGGTCTTTTTGGCCACTGTGTGACAGAGTGTTGGACTGGATGGGCCACTGGCCTGATCCAACATTGGCTTCTCTTATGTTCTGAACAGATTCTCCCCCCCCCCAGCTCAGATGGCAGACAACCCTAATCTAGGATTGTGCTGAATTTCTCAATACACAGATGAAAATCAGCTTCCGTGGCCCGCTAAGTACTTCACATGCTCACATATATGCAATCTGGCCAGATGAATGCTTATTCCAATAATTAACAGCCCCTAACTCTTAATTTAATAAATGTCCTGAAATTCTATTCCTTTGTCTCAAAGAAACCAGCAAGTTTGGACAGAACTCAGCCCTTTGTACACACTAAATAAAAAGAAAGAGAAGTTAAATGCATTGCGTTTTATTGATTTCCCTTTTCTGGCACAGAAGAATCACACAATAATCAGTCGTATCACAAGGAACCTTCAATGATTTATTAGTTTCACCTTTCCCCCCCGCACGCTTCCTCCGAAGAGTGCAGGGCAGTAAATGTGGTCCTTTCCTTACTTATCCTCACAACAACCCTGTGAGGGAGGTTAGGCTGAAAGAGAGTAACTGGTCAAGGTCACTCAATGAGCTTCATGGTACAGTGTGGACATGATCCTGGCTCTCCCAGCACCTAGTCCATTCCCCTAACCATTATACTATGCTGTCTGTCTGTACTTATTCTTAGATGCGACCCCCAAATAACGACTCCTAGGAAAAACCCTGTTATTAAGGTCTGTGAGTGGGTGTGATACTAAACTCACAGACACTGAGGCGGTACTTATTGCACATTTTGTCATTCCAAGTGCCATCCAGGTACATCTCCACACACCTCTCTGCCCCTTTCCCCTTCGGCTCCCCCTCGTACCAGTTGGTGTAATTCAGAGGTGCCCCGTTGAGGAAGTGGAAATCCCCAGGAACGGGCCCTTCTGTGATGCCCAGGTAAGCGTATGTATTGGATTCCTCCACCAAACTCTTAATGGCATCATTCTCCATCTTGTTCACTGGAGTGGCGATGGAGCCGTGAGCCGCTCTGCAGATTTTGACGGTGTTATCGAAGTAGTCCATTTTCTCCGTGGTGGCGAACAGCTTATCGCCAACGATGATGATCCTTCCGTTCAGTTCCAAGGCTGAAAAGGAAAACGGGAGGCTTTAAACATCTCATCAGACAGCCTTTGTGGCGCTCTTGTGAAGATTCAGGACCGGCTTTTCTTTCTCAAGGCCGAATCATGGACCGTCTTGTCGTGCCAAATGTAGCCTACCACCACCTCTGGTTTTTAGACTCCATTAGGTCATCACCCTGAGCTGATTGGCCCAGCCTAGCCTGATCTCATCAGATCACAGAAGCTAAGCAGGGTCGGTCCTGGTTAGCACTTGGGTGGGAGACCACCAAGGAAGTCCAGGGTTACTACACAGAGCCAAGCAATGACAAACCACCCCCGAATGTCTCTGGCCTTGAAAACATATGTGTACCAAGACACAAAGAAAAGGTTCAGAGATAACTGCTTAGCTCTGAATATCTCTAATGACTGGGATCCCCAAGGCTTCACTGTTTGCAGTGTGTTTTGGAATGGGAGGGTGATGTTTAATTTGAAGAAATGTCTGCATTCTCATTTTCTTCGCTTGTGGGTTCATGTTGCTTTGGGTTGTTTCCTTTCTGCATGTGTTCTACTGCCTCTAGTGGTTGATTCGGTATTACTTTCATTATGTTCAGCATAAAAAACCTACAGTTTAACGTTTGACATGAAAGCAGAAGTGGAATTGGACTTCAATTATGGTTGGCTACAATACAGACAGATTTATGATTTGTTTAAAACAGACAAAAAAAGACTTTGGGTTTAGGAAGAAATATAATGAAATTGAAAATTTGTGGTTGGAAGGGGGTAAAAAGATGATATCTAAAATGTATAAGGTCTTGCTAAAATGGTATACAGAAGATGAAACAGTTAAGGAGCAGATGATAAAATGGGCAGTTAATATGAATAAGGAAATATATATGTCAACTTGGGAATTTTTATGGGAAAATGCAATTAAAATTTCAACATGTAATAATTTAAAAGAAAATTGCTATAAGATGATGTATAGATGGTATATGACACCCAAAAAGATAGCAAATATAAGTAGTAATTTGTCAAACAAATGTTGGAAATGTAAAATAATAGAGGGTTCTCTTTACCATATGTGGTGGACTAGCGATAAAGCAAAAAACTTTTGGACTGAGGTCCATATAGAGATGGAGAAAATTATGAAATGTAAAATCAAGAAGGAACCTGAAATGCTACTTTTGGGACTCAAAATGGAAGAAGTCAACATTGCAAAACTGACTTTAATATGGTATATGATTACAACTGCTAGAATGACATATGCTCAATGCTGGAAACAAGAAAGAACTCATGAGATTTGGGAATGGTTAAAAAAGTTACTCTATGGCTGAAATGGATAAAATGACAAGAAAGCTTAAGAATCAGGAAGCAGAAGAATTCTTTGCAGATTGGAAAGATTTTAAAGTATATTTAGAGAAATATTGGGATGTGAAAAATAATCTATTTTGCTTTGATAATTACTGAAGTTAGAAAGATATTTAGAGTAAATTTAAATTTATAAAAACAACTGTTAAAAGATAGGTTACCTGCGGAATTTTATTATTGAAAAATGGAAAAAAGAGAAAAAATATGAGATTTGGACTGAGGGTTGGAGCACTGCAGGAAGTCAGAAAAGGGGGGAAACTAGGAGAAAAGGGTATAAGACAATTTGTAAGATGTCGTTTGACTTATTGATATATCCTAATAAAATTGTTTTTTAAAAAAACCCTACAGTTTAAGTCTGCAGGGAAATATGCTGGGCATACAGAGATGTAATATTGAATCGACCCCTAGAGGGAGCAGAGTTTTTCCTGTTCAGATTTTTTTCCTGTTCTGCATGTGTTTTACTCCCTCTAGTGGTCGATTCGGTATTGCCTTGATTAGATTATGTTCAGCATAAAAAACCTACAGTTTAAGTCTGCAGGGAGATATGCTGGGCATACAGAGATGTAATATTGAATCGGCCACTAGAGGGCGCAAGACACGTGTGGAACAGAACCCCCCCCCTCGCCCTGAAACAACAGGAACACAGAAGTGAGGAAAATGAGAATGCAGAAAAGCCCCAAGCCAGACAGATAAAACTATTGGCTTGGTGTTGGCAGTAGAGCATAATTCTAGCTGTACTGAGCGGTGGTGGAACAACCTGGTATTTTTGGCCATTGTGTGACACAGAGTGTTGGACTGGATGGGCCACTGGTCTGATCAACGTGGCTTCTCTTCAGTGTTCCCTCTAAGCTGAACATGGCTTCTCTTCAGTGCTCCCTCTAAGCTCAGTTAGTGTGAGCTGGCTCAGTTTTTTAGCCTCCGGCTCACATTTTTTGTCTTCACTCAGGAAGGATGGATCCAGAGCAAACTAATTTATGCAGTAGCCAAATCGCTCGCTCACAACTTTAATGCCAGTAGCTCAGAAAGTGGAATTTTTGCTCACAGGACTCCACAGCTTAGAGGGAGCATTGCTTACAAGACTCCCTTGCGGGCTGCAGAAACTGCCCTTCGGCACCTTGCCTTTGAGCCTAGTGGGAGCAGGACAGTTCGGAAACTAAGACACTTCGGAAACTAACCACAGCCTCCTGTCCAATCGGTACCCTTGGCCAGTCTGTTGTCCCGATCAGCAACCTGGGTGATGAACCTGCCTTGTTTCGATGGTGCTCACTGGTGACGGCCAATCCCCGGCCTTGTTTCCTAACCCCTCGCCCGAAGCCTACCACGTCTTCGAATGAACTTAAGGCAAGGATTAGCCGAGAATCAAAAAATGTCACCCCCTTTATTAAGAAAGACTAACGAGCTGACAGAAAGCTTTTTAAAAGCCTTTTAGAATGTACCTCTTTCCAGTCGGGTGATTTTGTGTTCCAGCTCCTTGAGTTTGTTTCGCAGTTTGGGCTCTTCGTATGCAGACACGCCTGTGAACAGAAATAACAATTATTTATTTCGCCATTGATTTCTGAATAGAGCTCATTTATATCCCACTCTGGCCATAACTCATACGGAGTTTAGACCAGTGTTCCCTCTAAGCTGAGTTAGTGTGAGCTAGCTCACAATCTTAGCCTCCGGCTCACACATTTTTGTCTTAGCTCAGGAAGCAAACTGATTTATGCAGTAGCCAAGTCACTCGCTCACAACTTTAATGCCAGCAGCTCAAGCTCAAGCTCACAAAGTAGAATTTTTGCTCACAAGACTCCACAGCTTAGAGGAAACACTGGTTTAGACTCTGTCAAGAGTATTAAACTCCTAGTGGAGTCACTCAAGGCGGAACGGTCACAGCCGTGGCTGATTCTGCATTGGCTTTTCCCTCGTTTTATGAAACCCATGTTGGAACAGAAATTCCCCTCTGCATTGCATGCTGCATTTCACTTCCTTTGATCACTGGGCTTTATGGTAGCCTCCACATTCCATGCCGCTTTCGCTTTCTTCGATCATCGGATTTTATTGTACCCTCTGCATAGATTTACGGCCGTTTTATGGCCGTTCGGGGGTGACGTTGCAGTCAGTACGGCGATGCCCCGAGGTATTTGAATGTGGCTTTGAGCTACACTTTGTCCTCCCAGTTGAGAAAATGTGGAGCGAATGCTAGATACAGAATCGCCCTGAGACACCAGACTAAAAAGCATTGGGCCCCCCCTTCAGGGGTCAACGGCCCCCCCAGCAGAAGAGAACAGACGGTTCCAATGGGGATAAAAAGGTAAAGGTTCCCTTGCTCGAAAGCCAGTCGAATCTGACTCTAGGGTTGCGGTGCTCATCTCCGTTTCCAAGCCGAAGAGCTAGCGCTGTCCGAAGACATTTCCGTAGTCCTGTGGCCGGCATGACTAAGCACCAAGGTGCACGGAACGCTGTTCCCTTCCCACCGAAGTGGTCCCTATTTATCTACTTGCAATTTCTTGCTTTCGAACTGCTAGGTTGGCAGGAGCTGGAACTCGAGATGGGAGCTCACTCCGTCATGCGGCACACTCGGGTCTCGAACTGCTGAACGACCGACCTTCCACAGCCTGCAGTTCAGCGTCTTAACCACTTGAGCCACCGCAGCTCCTTTCCAATGGGGATAGGGGCAGAGGAATCCTGGAAGGGCAGCTACCGGGCAGCGGAAGTGGAATGTGACACTGGTGGCGGATCTTTCGTAGACGATGGCCGTGCCACTTAAGCTAACCCTGGTTAGTACCGTGCAGAAGACAGCAACGGTCATCCACCTCTGAACATGTCTTACCTCAAAAACCCTATGATGACGTGACCCTACCTCAGAGGACCAGGTCGTAGTGTAATGTGAAACTCATCAGATGCGATAACAATTTGCGGCTACCTGATAGAATGTGAAAGATATGCTGTCTCAGATAGGTTATTATGTTTGCCGCAAGGGTTCTGACCCGTGTTCCCTCTAAGCTGAGTCAGTGTGAGCTCGCTCACAGTTTTTTAGCCTCCGGCTCACACATTTCTGTCTTAGCTCAGGAAGGAGGGCTCCAGAGCAAAATGATTTATGCAGCAGCCAAATTGCTCGCTCACAACTTTAATGCCAGTAGCTCACAAAGTGGAATTTTTGCTCACAAGACCCCACAGCTTAGAGGGAACACTGGCTCCTGACGGGAACCTAGACCAATGTTCCCTCTAAGCTGTCAAGTCTTGTGAGCAGAAATTCTTTCTTGTGAGCTGCTGGCATCAAAATTGTGAGCAAGCAATTTGGCTACTGCGTAAATTAGTTTGCTTTGTAGCCATCCTTCCTGAGCCAAGACAAAAATGTGTGAGCCGGAGGCTAAAAAAATGTGAGCTAGCTCACCCTAACTCAGCTTAGAGGGAACACTGCCCTAGACCATGCTGCTATCTTAAGAGCTTTTGTGTTCACAAAGTAAAATTATTGCACCTCTCGTCCTTTATATAAACATCATGGTCCTTGAAAAAGATTCATCCAAAACGGGTAAATTATGGGGTTATAGAAGTTATTTTAAAAGTGTTGAAAAAACATGTATGATAAATTGCCCCCTTCTGTTTGCTTTTTGTTTGGTTGTGTGTCAGGTGCTTTGGTTGGTTTTTTTTCTTTTTCTTTCTTAAAGAGCAATCTTGATTTCCAACCACTAATGATCATGTCTTACCTCAAAAACCCTATGATGACCTCACTTTACCTCAGAGGACCAGGTCGTAGTGTAATGTGAAACTCATCAGATGCGATAATAATTTGCGGCTACCTGATTGAATTTGAAAGATATGCTGTCTCAGATAGGTTATTATGTTTGCCGCAAGGGTTCTGACCAGTGTTCCCTCTAAGCTGAGTCAGTGTGAGCTACCTCACAGTTTTTTAGCCTGTGGCTCACACATTTTTGTCTTAGCTCAGGAAGGGATGGCTCCGGAGCAAACTAATCTATGCAGCAGCCAAATCGCTCGCTCACAACTTTAATGCCAGTGGCTCACAAAGTGGAATTTTTGCTCACAAGACCCCACAGCTTAGAGGGAACATAATGTTAAAAATGAAAATAGTATTATTAATGGATATATGTACTATAAGAGGAATTGTATTGGATGAGGGAATTACTGGTGGAAACATTTAGCTATGTATGCTTGACGTGTCGCTGTTAAGAATATAATTGTATGGGGTGTTAACTGGATTGAAATGATATTGAAAGTATGGCGTGGATGTATGCACTAAACTGAAAATTTAATAAAAATATGCACCAAAAAAAGAGAAAAATTATTGCGCCTTGCATCCTTTATATAAACATCACGGTCCTTGAAAAAGATTCATCCAAAACGGGTAAATTACCAGAGTCCCGTGGGACTAGGGACAGTGTGACTGACAAGGTTCTGTCCGGATGTAAACCCGCACTCGATGTATCGTTTGGGCGAAACATATCTTTCTCTATGCATTGTCTAGGTGAAATATATTTTTGATCATATTTGATACCAATATTGAGACAATAATATTGGAAAATATAAAAAGAAAAAGATTGAAGCAACATTGTTTCACCATAAGCATATATTTGTTGTACACAGTGATATATATTTTTGTATGCCCACCTGTGGACTGGCAACCCTACATGGTAGAAAAGCTCCCACTGAAGACTATAAAAAGCTCAGCGCCTTGGGGCATTTGTAGAATTAAGCTAAACAGGCAGTCTATGCTTCCCTCTAGTGGACAGGCCGTGTTACAAAGATATCCTGGATCTTTGCTAAGAGAACACACATTTCACACAAGGCTAACACACAAGAAGGATTTGGTTTCCGTTCGCAAGCATTTTCTCAAGGGCAACTCAATAATAATGACACTTAATCGTCTATGGTTCTTGCCTGATTCATGACTTTGTATTTAACAATAGGTCTGTTGTTTCAAAAACATCCCCTCTGTTCCCAGATTATCTGCTTTCCCCTCTAGAGGTGGCCAGGCTTTATTAGAGAGGACTTTCTGGGATGCTCCCATGGAGAACCAGAACAGCCATGTTTACATTGTTTGACTTATGCATGGGTAAATTCAAGAGCTGTGGTGCCAGAAAAATTTATGCCGGAAGAAGATTTGTTCGAAACGCGCAGGTTATGCCCGGGAGACGTGTTGCTAGGCCTGCTTGCTAGCTGAATCACCACATGGGAAAATACATCTACTAGGCTTGCTGGCTAAGCTGAATCATCACAGTGAGAAATACAAGCTGCCTGCTAGCTTTACCTGATGGATCATCACTTGGGAAATGTACAATAGGTTGCTGCATTGTTCGGTGCAAATAACTGTACATTGGTGTTTATCCTCCATCAGGAAGAAGACAGTTGGACTCTTCATGTTACGTAACTTAGTTTGAAAGTGTTTGAGATGTGATGTTGTCGTTTGAAAGTGTTTACAATACACTAGAGTTGATGTTGTGTATAAAAAAGCAAATATATTTAGCTATAAGTACATGTGAATATTGTGTTTATTATTTC